GCAGTTTTCAGTGCAGTTTTCAGTGCAGTTTTCAGTTTTCAGTGCAGTTTTCAGTTTTCAGTGCAGTTTTCAGTGCAGTTTGCATACTGAGTTTGCAGCGTTAAAATATTTCAATTATAGGTTTGTGTTCCGCATACTTCAGTCACATATTCAAACTGATAACAAGTAGCTATGTCCCATCTCTTGGAGCGGTAAGTAGTAGTATAATCACTATTAATATTACTTATTTATATTTCCTCCTCGATATAATTATAATAACATTCATATAGAAATGAAATCGTTTGTTATCGCTTACATACTGTTATGTTGTAAAATAGATGAATATTTTGATATAAAAGCTAAACAATGTTCATGTGGCATACAGCAGTATTGGAATATAGCTTTTGTATTACTGTACAGTACAGCCGGGTATATAAAAAAAGGGTAATCGAACTTCAGCACGCTATTGTACGTGAATTACTCGGCGTATGAACAACATTTTTTCATATTCGGAAAGATCATGCAGGCTTTTAGCTATTGAATGCCAAGTGGAGAAAAAATAAGCAAGTAAGAGTCCGATAAAAACGTTAGTCAAAATCACATATTTTCACCTCTGTGCCTAATTAAAGCAGTGCATAATAAAAGAAAAAGCAATTAATCACGAACTTGTCGTAGCTTAGCTACTGTCGTAGCTTAGCTATTCCTATACGTAATAATAAGTATCCGTCAATATGTGCGTAGTTTATTGAAGTGAAATTCATCAACTAAGTACCGAAGGGGGTTAATTTTCAATGGTTTTAGACCCAACTCTCAACGGTGAAAATATGCAATTCTGACTAGCATTTTTTATCGGTCTCGTACTTGCTCATTTTTTATCCATTTGGCATGAAGAAGTATCATTCAACAGATAAAAGCCTGATCTTTCCGCATATGAAAAATCTCGTTCATACGCAGAGTGATTCAGATACAATAGCGCGATGAAGTTCGATTACCTTTTTAGTGTGAAGTTTCTTCGAAACTTCACAGTATTGTGATGGTGGGGAAAATTCAAACGAAACAGTCATTCATTCAGTCATACAGTAAACTTTCCGGGGGGCGTGTACGATTTATGTTCGCAGTGATTTATTGTGCTTAGTCAGTACTTTGAAGGTTATTTAGGCAATTTCAGTTAGCAATTTTACATATTCTGTTATCCTTTTACCAAGTTCACAAAAATTTCGAGCAATCGCTTTTGTTATTGTAATTCTTTGTAAATTTTAGAACATTCGCTTCTCATGTTGTGTAAATGATCTTTACCCCGGAACACCCGATTTTTCTTTAGTAGCGCAAATGCGCATGCGCTATCAAGCCGTATATCACGATGGCGTGACGATATGCTAGGAAGGAGTGACAGTGTTGTTTTCAGATGTATAAACATTTCAGACGTGAATATTGAGTAAATCTTTGAAAATGTACGCAATATATAAATTGATCTTATGCATTACGGCCGTTCAATTAATAAGTGTCGATAATATTTAGGCGGTATATTCATTATACAGAGCTAGGAAGGAGCTAGACCGCCTAGACAGTGCATTTAAGACTCAAGTGTATAAACATTTCAGACGTAAATATTGAGCCGAAAATCTTTGAGATTCTAGGCATTCAATTGAGTGCTGATATTATGTTCACGGTGTACTCATTATACAGGGGTACAGTATGTACGAAGAAGCGAGGAGGCAGTGTTGTTTTTCAAATATATATTAAACATTTCAGACATGAATATTGAGAAAATCTTTGAGATCCTATATACGCAATAATATGATATATAAATTGATGAGTATGGTTACCGGCGTTCAATTAAGTGCCCATCGATAGACGATATTATTTAGACCGTGTATTCATTATACATTGTTATTTGACTGTATAAGGTGCCACATCACAGAATAGTACACTCGGGCAAATTGCGAAAAATTGCATCAGATCAATAAAGCATCAACAACTATTAAACAGAAGCGGGCGTTCGTACAGGCGTTTATGAAGAAAATATTGCGAGACGAAGGAAATCAGTTGAGTCAGAGCTCCTTATTTTAATAAGAAAGACGAAGAGATAGCCAACATGTTATCGCCAACGTGTTATCGCCAATCGCTTGGCTCACCAACAAGCTTTATGCAATGGAAGAAAAAAGCAAGGAGGTACATGTATCCAAACTTGTACTGTCGCGGACCTTGTTTACTGTCTAGCACAACGCCGTTGTCAACGGTGCAAATTCGTGTTCAATGCAACGTTAACTCTACGTATACCAGATCTTACGAGAATTAATCTGTAGTATTCTGTACACAGAACTGTATCAAAGCTTGTCAAAACTGCTTTAAACACTGCTATAACTGTGAAACTATTGAAATCTACAGTGACATTATTCAAAACATGCGAAAAGCTAAAAATAGACACAACGTGCACTGGGAAAAGTCAAAGGTCAATGCGGACTTGTTATTGTAAAACATGTCACAATTAGGTTAAAATGCGGATGCGGAAGGAGCGGACCACGGAACGGAAATGCGAATAAAATACGGAACGGATGAAGATAAAATGCTTCCTTTCAATGATGTAACGACGTAGTGCTTATTATTTATAACATATCGTATACATCTATTTCAATTATAAGTTTGCAGTAGCCTTGTGCGGATGCTTTTAGCGACAGCTGCAATTGAAATTTTGAATTGTCGCGTGTAGCATCACAATAAATAGATAAATTGTATCATTTTCACAAAGCACGTTTCTGATGTGTTAGGCTTGTTTCAAACGTCACGCTACTCGTGTGTCGAGCGCATTAAAAGCAATATATAATGAGATGAAATGCCGTTGGCGATTGTTTATTTCGTAGTGTAAGACATCAGCTTTTCTAGGTTGTCAGCGACCCTATATAGTTCTTGCAGAATCTTTTTCAATTTGAAACTTCACACTATCCTTGGATCCCTAGTTTTTTATACACCCTGTATAAAATTTATACTAATTAACATTGAAGTGCCAATTTGGCTTGAAGTAAAACATGCACTAAAACATATGTCCTTGCTTTATTTTAAATTTTTATTAAAGTCTGGTTGTATTCTCGCCGTACTTGGTGCTGTATGTGTGGAAAATCCTGATGCCAGATTGTCTATCCTGTTTTTACCATTTTTCTCGTTTTCAGCATCGAAGGTATGTCATGCTTTCCCCTGCTTTAATCCCTCTTTTATACAAAGCGTTAAGCCCGGCGCACACTAGAGCTATGTTCTTAGCAAAATGTCATTCGTGACTGTTGGCGTAAGGAGATAGCTCTCGTGTGCGGGCGATTTACGAACGATTTTGTCATTCGTGCCACTTACGGCAAATATCTAACATGTTTGATAATTTCTGCCTCGAGTGCCAAAATCTTTCCATGTGCGGCGAACGAAAGCTATCTGCTTACGGATTGTCGTAACAGCGCATGCGTAGTATACGAAAGTAAACATCCAAGATGGCGGCGCAAAATGAATTGCATGCTGAGGCAATTTTAGAAGACAAACTTGTCGTAATAATGCTGTTCCAACAACTTGTCTACAAGCTTGCTACAAGCCTGTTACGAACATATCTTGTAGACAAGTTGTTGGAACAGCATTGTCACAACTTGTTAACACGATTGCTACAAGCCTGTTGAGAACATATCTTGTTGACAAGTTGTTGGAACAGCATTATTACGACAAGTTTGTCTTCTAAAATTGCCTCAGCCAGCAATTCATTTTGCGCCGCCATCTTGGATGTTTACTTTCGTATACTACGCATGCGCTGTTACGACAATCCGTAAGCAGATAGCTTTCGTTCGCCGCACATGGAAAGATTTTGGCACGCGAGGCAGAAATTATCAAACATGTTAGATATTTGCCGTAAGTGGCACGAGTGACAAAAGTCGTTCGTAAATCGCCCGCACACGAGAGCTATCTCCTTACGCCAATGGGCACGAATGACATTTTGCTAAGAACATAGCTCTAGTGTCCGCCGGGCTTTAATTTTAATTTACCTGGCTAGTATACTGTGGTGTATTAAATCTGACAAATTTGCATATAATAGTGAGCACAATCAAATTTGAACATTTTTATCTCCATACTGTAGCTGCAAGAACTGCAACACACCAAAATCCACACACCCCTCCTTCCCCGAGTTGAATGTTGTACTGGCATGCGCGATATGTTGCTAACTATCCAACAAACATTGTTGAGGGTGGGGTAAGGGGGAGGGCACGCACGTACACCAGGACCTGAGTGAAGAGTGATGTTTTTGCCATCCTATATTTTTACATTGTCCTGTATGTAAGATTTCAAATCCGACTATGAGGACTGGACTAGATTTCAATTCCGCGCAATTTGATCAAGTCCGAGGCAAAGCCGAGGACTGGATCAAAATGCGAGGACTTAAAAAAATAGTCCAATCTCAATCACTACCCAAAGTGAGGTGATTAATTTCGATCCAGTCCAAGAACTGAATTAATTTCGATCCAGTCCTAGGACTGTAACAATAAACTTCACCAGGTATCCAGTATTATCATGTGAGCAAAATAAAGTAATATGATTGGTTGATTTATGCATGAATTATTAATGAATTTGAGATCTCTTTGTCACTGATTGTAGACCATTGTACAATTCAGGAATTTCGTTCATAAATTGGAAAACAATAAATGGGCGAATTTATACTGTGAATTAATGATTGATGTCATTTTCTAGGCTTTAATAGGACTTGTGAGTTTTGATATGGCTGGATTATTGTTTCGTTGGAAACTTTTTGACCATGCAGCTCATTTGGGCGGTATAGCATTTGGCAGGTAATTAAAACAAATCGTTTTCATGTGCAGTATATATATTGATTCATTGTAGTTAATCGAACAATGCCTGAAGTGTTTATTTTTCTTCTATATAACTATATGGTGGGATGATATTCATCTAGCATAGCCTGCAGCATTCCTGAAATCTTGGGAATATGGTGATTAAGATAGCTTTAGAAAAATGTACCCTGAGCTGGGGGAGCATACAGTAGTTCCTAAGAGTTATATTTGGAGATTTGAGATTGTATATTTCTTTCTACTACCATGCAGAGTCTAGTCTGGCCCTTAAGTTGCGGGATGTGAAGCACCTCGAATTTCCTAGATTAAATTTCTCAATTTTACGGAAATATGGAAATATGAGTGAGTTTATAGGTGCAATTTTACCTGCATGCAACTTGTTCACAACAAAATCGCAACAAAGTTGCCTAGTGGAACAGCACTATTATGTCCATGTACCCCTACATGCTCAACCTATACCTTATATTTTAAAAATTTCATAGTTGGTATATAATATTTGGACATAAATATCTATGGGATCAGAGACAAGTGATTATACGAAAGTGGCATGAATTTCGACAGAACTATACCAGATAACTTGATGGATGTGACTGTATGGGTATGTTTGGAGCCCACAAATGAGGTTACAGTATAGTAACACAAAAATGACCTACCGGCTGATGTACCAGTAATAGCGAGCTTAAGCAAGCGACGTCTTTTATTGCAGGGCCTTTTTTAACTTTATAACTGGGGGGGGGGGCGGGACTCGCACGAAATGCAGTCCTGGGGGTGGAAAAATACAAACATATTCTGGGGGAGAATGCCCCCAGACTCCCCTACTATTACGTACGACACCACACCAAACTTTTGTTAGCTCTCGACACTCAGTATAGTATGGTCCCTTTTTGTAGATGCCTCCCCCCCGGACGAATTCTTAAAAAAGGCCCTGTCAGATTGCCGAGGGGAGAGTGGATTAAAAACTATGCTTGTGTCAGTTTGTTGTAATCTTCAACTCATATGACAAAACATTTTTAACGTTTTTTGCTTCCTCACACGAGCGCTATGGTGCAAAATGCCGCCAAAATTAGTTCTACCAATTTTCGGGTGATGTCTGTGTTGACGAAAACGTCGCTGGCTTAAGCTACCTAATGCCTTGCAGGCGGAAAATAATGTCACACAAGCCTCGTATCTACAGTAAGATACTTTCGGTAGGAGAAAGTACTGCCCAGATTTTGGTCAGTAAAGCGTGAAATGTTAATTACAGTTGAGGACTTCAATAATTTTATTGATTCGCCCTCCCTTCGTACAACCGCGTGACCACAAATAGCCAAGGTACTTTCTCAGATACGGAAAGTACCCTGGGTTGAATAGCACTAATCAAAAGTGCCACTAATCCCAAATGTGACTCTTGGTATGTTTAATATTTGGGTCTTTCCGTTAGAAGAAAAAAATCTAATATATCTAAGTATCTTAAATCAACTTTTTCACTATCAAGATTGCCGAAATGAATTTTAGCCAGTGGTGTAGTCCCGAAACGCTGACAAGGGCCGGGGAATTCTAGAAAGAAAGGGGGGGGGGGGCTGACAATATGATAAACATGGGAAATTCCAGTATTTATTTGTGGTTCTATAGCAATTCTTCAATTAGTGTTTTTTTAAATGAAGAAAGGATTTAACTTGAAATTAAAGATTCCGACATAGCGAAGCTATTTCGGCATCTTTGAGCAACATAAATTATCTAATGGTGGATCAATTATTTAGTGCCTGCGAGTAAAATTCATAACTCTAAATCTAAAATACCATGCAGAATGTGCCTGCATGGTATTTTAGGTTTAGAGAACTAAATATTGTTAAAATGTCTAGATTTTAATGAGATTTCAAAATTTGCTTGCCGAATTCAAAAGGTTCATGCGAGCGGCGTTCCCCCCGTTCGCGCATTTTTGATGATGCCTGATTAGATCAAAGTGATCAAGTAGAAATTAGTAAAATCATTAGACATTACTGTTGGAAATTACTGAAATTTCAACACAACAGTTCCAAAGAACTTCCCAAGTTACTAGTTAGTTCCCAATCGACATGAAATTTAAACAAGAGGAGCTCTGCTCCCCACACACACACCCCTGATTTTAGCAGCAAAAAAACAAAAGGTAACTAATTATAATTTGTAATTCATTTAATGACATCCAATATCCGACAACTTTGACAATAAAAAATTTGATCAAGATGCATGAAGCTGAAAAGACATATTCCAAATATTACACATGCCACTTGAAACGAAACAAGTGAAGTAAGGGGGTCGTAAGTTCGGTTCTTTGTCCAACTGTTTTTAGGTGTGGAAACTGTGCAGTATAGTTTTCTGTGTATGTCTGTATATTCCATGTAGCTAGTGGCTTGTAAATACTTGAATATTGTTTTCAAATTCTACTCTTTGCATGATATTTTTGGATCTGCCCCCCCCCCCCACCCCTTCCCTGGATATCTAATGGTCCACCTCTAAACTGACATTGATATATAATTTTATAAACATGACATGTATAGTATATATATCAGAAAATTTATGATCTCTTTGAATTTTAACCCCTCGCCAAGGTTGAGAGTTGATGAGATTTGGCATGCAGTCACGGATTAATTGTTACTGGAGACATTTCAAGCTCTAAACATGATGACTGTTCAACTATGTTTAAAGATTTTTGAATGCATGATAGTCAGATAAGTGTTAGAATAGCATTAATAACAGCCAACGAAAGTCGCATGACTGCCATACTCATGCATGCACTAGTGCATCTATGACGTAGGCTAGTTTGATCCGGGCTCTACTCGAAATTTCTTTCATTGAAATTATTAAAAATTATTATTAAAATATTATTAAAAACAATGTTGTATCATCATTCCAAGCGAACAAATAAACACAATATATATGTCATTGGAGAGGAACGATTGTTTTTATATCGGAAACAAAATTTTTTAAACTGATAAACAAAGCTTGCATGTTGTTTTTTCAATGCCATTTGTTCTGATATCCAGATATGATCGTTGTTTTGATGCTATAACAGTATAAGATACGTCGTCACTTGGTATAATACTTGGATACTTCCGACCATTTATGAGTAGAGCATTTGTTTTATCCTAGAGAGGAAATACATACAATATGATCTGCAGGTGCAACATGCAAAAACGCAAAATTCTGAAAGTTAGGAGGCATCAGGCATGCATGAAAGTCATCTATATTGTAATACTTAATAGCTTATTTTCTTCAAGATCTTAGTTCCTGTACATGTACATTTTTGAATTGGTTTCCAATAATGATTAGTATATATGTTGGTTTTTCTAGTACATATTACTATAGCATTTGTGATAATTAGGGAATGCGTTTTTCTAAAAAATATGTTTTAAAACATCACAAAAGTTGCTTTGGTTAAAACGAGTAAACTTTCTCAAACGTGCGCGTCAGGCATCTATAAGGCCAGCAATCATGGACAAAAGTGTTAATAAAATCGATCGACATTTTAGGAAAATACAATCAAGTAACTTCATACAGGTTCCCCCACTCCCCCACCCAATGTTGCCATGATTTTCCTCTCATTTTTAACGTAGTTCAACAACATTGTGTTGGGGGAAGGGGGGGGGGGATGTTTTAGACAAAATACATGCAGGAATCAAACTACAATTTAAACTCTCACAGAGGTAAATTAAAATTTTATTAACAAGTTATGTTCACGATTGAGGGTTATACCAATAGAGCAATAGACAATTCCCGCATTGCAGACTAATTTTAAAACTAGGCAAGGAGATGCAAATAAATTACCATAGCTAGAAAGAGCATACTAAAATTAGTAAAATTGCAAATTTGGTTGCGAAATGTTGTAAAATGCGGAAAATAAATAATATAGCCTTGCAAAGTTTGCAAATTTTGTACGCTTTTGTATTGCGTGCGGAAATTGCTACGAACCAACATGAGCTCCACCTTGAGGCTATATTTTCTGCATTTTACAACATTTCGCAACCAAACTTTGCAATTTTACTAATTTTAGTATGCTCTTTCTAGCTGTGATGATTTATTTGCATCTCTTTGCCTAGTTTTAACATTAGTCATTAGTCTATAATGGCAATATAATGGGAATTGTCTATTAATTTATTTAATTTTAATTTATTAACTTCGCCAGATAGTCTTAAAGATGCAGTTATTACAAAGTAATACTTCATTTAACGAATTAACTAAATAGACTATAACAGTATAAGGCAGGGTATTCGCAACAGCGATTAGCCAATTACTGCGAACCCAAGAACAATACGTTAAGATCAAATAGCAAAAAACTAACAACTAACTTCATGCATTTCTACAACTAAGTATTTGGCTAGCTATACGGTAACTGATCATGATATGATAAAAAGATGCACTAGCTGAAAAGAAGTTGAACAAATCGATGCATGGTAACGACTACATAAGCATAGCCGCATGAGCAGTCGCCATGTAGCTACTGTACTCTGTAACTGCGCTAAAATTTTCAATAACAGCAAGATATTGGAGATGCTAAACTACGAACACAGTTGCACTTCAAGCATAAAGATCTAAATGTTCGCGGATTTTCAGGATTATAAGTAATGTCAACAGAGGTAAAATAATAAGTCTATTAAAGAACTATATAACTGTGAACAACAAACTGTGAACAACAATTATTATAGATGATCGTTGATGTCTAGGACCTAGGTCAATGCATATATACCATAATTAAAAATATATAAATTAATTACCATTTAGGTCTTCCAGGCACATGTTATGTATATACCCATGCAATTGAGTGACAGACAGGTCAATGTACATTAGGAAAAAATAGTTTAATACTTCAGAAAAAATACATATAAATTTATGCATGTGAATATCTATACGGCGACTATAGACTAAATTGAAACGGAAACAATATAGTCTCGCGTGTATACTTGCATTAATGATGATGATGACTTCCGACTATTAATTTATGACCTTGACACTTGTCCCTGTTTTATATTATGTATTGGCACTATATATGTACTTAAACACAAATGAGGGAAGAAAGTCCTTGTGTCATGCATTTGAAGTGAAACCGAGGGCCATTCTCAGCAACTGTATATATACTCGTTAATTTTTGGTAACTGATTCCACTGGTATGTGGCATAGTATGTGGTATGTTATTTTTCTGATACCATGTGTGTTTTAAGATATACATTACATTTTTAGAAACATAAACTAAATTTAGACATACTGTCGTCACTTGTAATACTTGTAGGTATTTGCATAATACGATAGTGTTGATTTCCGACCTTTATGTCTTTGTAATTTATGTTGGTAGACAATACAAAAGAATCTAAAAAACGTGCACACATGCAGTAAAATGAAACCAAAAACGAGAGTAAAACATACGAGTGTGTCACGTTCCAGAATGAACTTGCTTTTTTTCAGAATGAGTTGTTGTTACATGGTGACTATAGTCAATACTGTATATAAGGGTTTCTGTATCAATTTTTTTAGCATTAAAGTTTTAGGCTATATATGAGTGTAAATATTAACCACATGCACCAACTTATGTGATGAACTTATATTTGCCCAAAATGTTTGACAACTATTTACAAGGTCCATACATACACACTGGACGCGATTCGACAACGTGACGCGATTTTTCGATTTTCACTGACCGATAACTTTGATCCTAGACCTAGTTTAAATTTTCCAAATATTTAGAAGCGTTATAACATTTTGAGTTATTTGGTCTACATATACCTTTCAAAATTTGCTCTCATTGGCTCTTTTATTAACTTTCAAAAACTAAAAAATCGCGTCCCGTTGTCGATTCGCATAAAAGAAATGATTATGGCTATAGCAGTCTTTAAGAAACCCTGCATGAAGGGCTTTTATTTAATCGATGAATAGATAAGATATAATCTTGAACAGTATGTGCCAGTGTATAGGAATTATTTACATAAAATATCTTAATAAAATACCAGATATGTATTCACAATAATCAATATATTGACGCAGGTTAAGTTAACTTTTTTATTTTATCTAAAGATGTAATACATCATTCGGACAAATATTTACTAGATTTTTATCTTAAAATCTATACTTGAAATATTTTGTAGGTTTTGGCGCTTTTTTGAAAGTATTATAGCCATAGTAAGACCTTTAATATCCAATTGTAATTCATCCAAATATCAATTCCTTTTCTACAAAAGACATGGCTTGCGATAATTTGTTGTAATTGCGTTATGTAATTTCTTTGAATTTCGCGTGTTATGCTAATATGTATTTTTACACCAGGTAGTCATCACATTCACATTCAATGCGAATTCGAATTGATAGAATTACAAGTTTTTAACTTTCCTTTAACTTTACGGGCCAACTGTTTGCTTAACGCAGAATAACTAGTTTTATTATATACACAAGGTCTGGATATGAGGTATTCTGCAATCTGATTGGTTCTCTACTAGCAGGATATTAGCTCATATCCTGCTAGGAGAAAAAGAAAATGGCGGCTCAAACTGAATTTCCGATGTTTTGCGAACGAGAAAACTGCAAGTTGTTCACTTTTTATAGCCTTTACAGGATTAAAAACACCATGGAAAAACTCCCACAAATTGCTTACAGGTTAGCAAATTAATTTTTAAAATTTGAAATGATTAAAAATACTGTATATTTTTGAAAAAATAATCGGCTGAAAGAGCGAAGATAAAACATAAACAAAATAGAAAAATATTAATGAAAATATCTGAAAAGAATTCAGACCTTGTGTATATAATAAAACAGTTATTCTACTCACTCTCGTCGAATATTAACGATAGCCGATTCGACTCGAGTTCGTAGAATAACTGGTTAAGTATTTAAGGCAATCTTACACTGTACGAATTTTAGCCTTTATTTGTCAACACAATTTTAAGCTAACCTAGTGCCAAGCCCTCTGGCGCCTACTGCTCGGTTTAGAGGGCTAATTGGCACGAAAGCTGATGTAATGACTAAATTGCCATAAATCGCCATAATGGTCCTCATTATAATCTAAATATAGCTCTTAATCAAGAAAAGTATTTAATGGAAACCATATTTACCAAGATTATATGCTTCACAAATATTGGACTGTGTGCGTCATACCTTGGCTGTGACGTTATTTATGTAAACCAATACCATTTTGCTTAGTCCAAGAAGTGCACAAATTATATACCGGGAGCAGATGCAAAAGAAACGTTAGACTTTGGTTATATCATAACAATACATATTATGAACCGATACAGCACAAATGAATCGTAATATAGCATTTGTAAATTCTGAACGCTGATTGGCGTTTCCAACACGGAAAATTTCTTTCTTTATATTTCTTTGTGCTATAATATTATATATAAAACTAAATATATAAAACTAAATATATAAAACATTTTTCCGTGTTGATATACAGTTATATCAACACTCGTGGATATTGGGAAAAGTCGAAATTGTGTGAAACGGAGGGCGGAGTGTTTCCACACATTTTATCGTTTTCCCAATTTCCACTCTTGTTGATATAACTGTATATAAACACGGAAAATGTTTTATATTTGTTAAATCTATATATATAAAATCAAAGTCACTGAAGGTTTTCACACAATGTCATCCTTACGTTTTCAAGTGCAAGTGATGTATTGACGAAAATCTTGACAATCCGTTGTCTGGCACATTTGGCTTTATTTTTTTAAGGTCATAAGGAGGATTTACAATTTTTCTAGCAAGTCTATTTGGGATTTTAACCACTTTTATGCCAAACACTATGCTGCCTTTCTGTCGCAGGTGTGAAGAAACACCCAATGTTTTAAAGAAATAATCGGGTAACGAAGGTTTTGCCAAATTAATTGTTTAAATTTCATGATAAGATCAATGTCTTCGCTGGTAGAATTATTACATTTATATATATTCAATAAAAATTGATAAATGGTTTTCAAACGTTTTCTAAGTGAACGAAACATTTTGTTGTTATCCTGATATTCATATATTAGAAAGGTATATCACTGCAAAAAATCCACGACTGAAAAACGTGAGTAGAATGAATCAAAATTTTAAGTAAAATATCACTCAAATTTATGAGCAAATTTTGAGTAAAGTTTCAAATTCACTCAATGATAGTGTTTTGAGTAGAGATTTAAATTTGTTCATAAATTTGAATAATTTTACTCAAATTTTGAGTCACTGTGGAGTAGTGCATGTGGGTGCATTATTTTTGTAGAGTGTAGTCTAATTTATCGTGAACTAGAACTGGGTTGTAGTTTCGTTCAAAAAAAACTTTTGTTTTCAGCCAAGTCCATTAAGGGCAAGTGATATTGTGACATTCTTGAATAATTATAAATGATCTGGCAACCAATCAAATGTCGAAGATTAGCAGATGACTGTTATTTTATGATCTCTTTCTGGTGTATTCAGTTCAACACTATATACATATGGAAAAGTCTAACGACAAAAAATGAACATGTTTTGTGATTTGCTTTCGAAACAAAATTGATCGGTTTTTGTGGCTGCTTTTTCGTAGAATATCGATTCTATAGTTTTAGTGTGTTTCATTGTCATAATCAATCAATCAGAAAATGAAAATATAGATGATGCACATGCAGCCAGGGGCAGGGTAAAAGTAAAACATATCAAAGGAACGTTCTCTGCAGACTGTAAATATTTTTTACAAGCTTTCGGCTATTATGCAGTCTATAGAATTGTTGAAGGATGCAAACTGAACTATAGCTAAACTCAGAATCTGTTCCTATAGCGTTTGCACTCATTTCCCAGGGACCAACTCAACAAAAGCCATGGCGGCCATGTTGGTGTTCCAGACAAAAGAATCTAATTAAAATTCTTTTAAATTGGAACACCACCGGCTGTGACGTCATGTGCAAACGCTCTATAACTTCGTGATTACCTCAAATATGGGAATATATATTGGTAAACTGATTTTTCCAAATAAAATTAGCTTAATAGTCAAAGGAGATCTACTCAATAAAAATACCATGTATAAACCCCTATGCACTGATGTGGTTAAGGCGCCGTCGGCTTCATGTGTCGTAAACGAAGACCTACGGAAACGAAAACCAAATATGGGTTTTCGTCCCCATCTCCAAAAAGCTATATTCTCACGATTCACGAAAATTCTCCCATAAATTTTGAGAAATTACTGGTGCCTGGTGGATATAAAATGTATTGTTAGCAATAATATATAGAAACCGCCAGAATTTTTCCTTTTACTCGGGTAATACCTCGTTTCTTCTTTAACACTCTAACACTTATTTTTTTGTTATGAAATATACTACAATATGGGCAAATTAGTGGATTCTATAGCTATATTGGATTCACAACAAAGTTATCACTGCATATTCTTGCTGTCTCACACACTTCAATAGTTCAATTTATCACTGCACAAATTGCATGGTTACCGCTGCACACTAAAACTATAGGTATATGATAAGAATTCTAGGTATGATAAGAATTCTGATTGGAATTTATAAAATGCCGCGTTTGAAGCCTAAATAAGTAAATTGCATGAGAAACTATGCTAAGGATTTTGATGTGAATCAAAATAACGCGCAATCTTCCTTGTGATCTCCATTGGTGGATTCCAACATGCAAAAGCTATAAGATAGACAAAACTACATTTTGGAAAATTTTATAACTTTATAAAAATGTATTGTTTGCGTCTAGGCTGATTATATACATTTACAATAATTATATAAGATGTTATAATATTTTATATATTGTAAATGCATGTAATCATCCTATATAGACATGCACAATCAATATTTTCA